TTTTTTGCTTTTTTAAAAACTTAATTTATTTTTAAAGTTCTTAATTGTTTATTTTGTTATTATTCATTTATTTTTATATTAAAAAATTATTTTATTTATTTTTCACATACTTTTCTCACAAACAAAGAGAGAAAAATGTTCTATTCTCTCTTATTAGATTGAGAGCTAGATTTTGTTTTATTTTTATTTTATCATCAAAATTTCAATGAAGCCAATCAATAGCTCATACTAACCCCTCAATGTTGTTACCTTTAATAATAGTTAGATGACCCTATCATTCCCGTACAGACAGACAAATGCTTTCTTGCTTTAAGCCGGATTTACAATATGACGCTAGGCCAACGTAACGTCAACTTTTAATCAAAGCGTAGGCCATTTGACCTTTTCACGCATGCTTCACACTGGAGTTGAACCAGATTCAACTTCTGCGTCAACATAACATCAGGACTAGCTTCATATTGTAAATCCGGCTTTAGTGGAGCTCCGTCAGGCTTGTTCCAATAATAACTGAACAACAAAAACAATGATAAAATGATAAAAAATAATTTTAAATCTTATTCTGTTTGTATTAGGCCAATGTACATTGATAGTACTGCTGGAGTTCAGGCAGCTAGTGATTTGGTAGTTTCTAAAGAACTACAAGACAACATTGAGCCACTACTCCTGGTTAGTAATTATGAATTCTTATTCAATTAGCTTTTGTTATGTCTTTCCCTTCCTTCCTTCCTCTTTCTCAGGAATACAAAGTTGATCTAGCATTTTGGGGTCACCACCACTCCTACCAGAGGACATGTCCTGTTGCTAAGAAAGTCTGTCAGGATGATGGAACTGCTCCAGTTCATGTGGTCATTGGAATGGCTGGACAATCACTCTCTGGAAATATACAGTAAACAATGAGTGACCAATAAAGGCATCATTTGTACAGTTTGTGTGTACACATCATGTACTATGTAGTACACATGTGTATGACCAGCATATGAAATCTACGCACCATTAAAACTCTATTTCTAAAATTATTTTAGAGAAAAGCAACCAGATTGGATACGGTTTGTTGATGTTGATGTAAGTCAAATTAAGTTTATCACTTTCACCTATGCCACATTCCTCTATACAATTTTTGCATTCTCTCTCTCCTCTCTCTCTTCTCTCTCAGGATTATGGTTATACCAGGATAAGTGTTAGTCCACTCTCCCTCACATTGGAGTACATAAAATCTGATGGTACACAAAAAGAGACATTCACACTCAAACACACCAAGTGAATAATCCAGTGTGCCACTTTGACATGACTATACATGTGTGTATGAACTGATGTGTGTGTGTGTTAGTGTGTGTGTTAATTGCTGTATTTCTTATCATATTTAATGAAAGCTGTGCACAATAAACTGATATAACTGAACATAATAATAATAAGAGAATAGTAATAATAATTGGAAGATGATACCGTATAGCGGGTAAATTTGGAAGGGCTAAATTTTGGTGATTGGTGGGATTTATTTTGGCAAATGCCTATCAAAACGCCAAATTTGCCAAATTTAGTCGCCTCCAAAATTTCCCTCTATATGATAATTTGGACATAACACAACATATATATAGCATATATAATGCATTGACTGCTCTAAAGCTCAAGTAGCTGAAACAAGGATACCACATACCACTCCTAATAATACAGCTCCTAATACTTCTACTGCTGGTAATACTAATATTGCTTGTGCTAAGACTCATTCAAAAGATTTAGGATCATCAGAAATTGAGATTATGTTTTCAAGATTATGAGATCAAAATTATAAAAAAGACCATTATTATTTTTTTAAAAGACTAGCTTGCAAAAATCACCAAACATTATTCATTAGACTATTTATTCATTAGTGGGTCAAAACAAATCTAAAAATGATTCGCTGGCTGTCCTTACTTCTCTTAATCTCTGTTGGATTTTGTCACCGATACTTCAGTCCTTTTGACTTTCTCAAGTATGAGGAAGCTGTTGTGAACACAGGTAGGCAGATACAGGGAGAGGAACACGTGTACTGTACAGCTGTAGCATAGTAGATCAGATCATAGTAGTGAGAGTATTTTCCATTTGCAGCTAGACTTGCTGTATTTAAAGTGGCTGTGTCACACCATAGATGCTCTATTACATAATATATTTCTAGATCCCAGTGTGGTTATCACTGTCACTCCCAATCAGTTGAATAAATCAGGGGATTGGGTTACAGTTGCTTGGGATGGTGTATCTCATCCATCAGATACTGACTGGATTGGTGTGTATGCTCCACCAAATGGAGAGGAGTCCATCGACCCATCTAAAATTGCACCAGTCAAATATCAAGTATGGGTTTCGAAATGTTGTATTTATCTTTTGTTCTTCTCTCCCTCTTCTAGTATTGTAACGAATCTTCCACTCATATGTCTTCTGGTAAAGGTTCTTTTAAGATTCGTCTGGTCAATGTGAGGACTCCTTACATGTTTGCATTACTAAAAGGAGGTGAGTACAGCCTGCAATATAAGCACGTTGAGTATTAGTGGCAAGTACATGTATAATTTTACCCTTGAAGTGTAAAAGGGTGTCAAATACAATACTTTTTTATAAATCTTTATGTTTATTATAGGTTTTGATGCTCCTTCTCTTGTTGCTACATCTAAGCAGGTCACATTCTCTAGTCCCAATGAGCCACTCCAGCCTCATCTAGCACTAACCAGTGACCCAACTACCCTATTGTATGTCTGCCATTACATTATCACCTTAATTCTTTATTCCTTCAGATTGACATGGAACACTAGAGATTCTAAAGAGCCAAAAGTCAAGTTTTGGCAAAATACGACAACTAATATAAGGACTCAGGCAGCTACTTCGAATAAATACACTAGCAAGGACATGTGTGGGCCTCCAGCTACTACTGTAGGATATATTGACCCAGGAATGCTTCATACTGCTAAACTGTCAGGGTAAGGAGAGAGAGGGGGGAATGATATAGACAAGCAATGGAGGATGGGCATTTGATGTTTGAAAATGTGCAAAATTTAAGCATCTTTTGTTATTTGTACTTTTTACTTCCACATTTCCCATAAAGAGCTGGATGCAATTTCAAGTCAATTTTAGAAAAAAAACATGGACAACAGTTAATGATATTTTCAAAAATTTGACTCTAAAAGCATCTTTCTGATACCTATTAATTTATTGATATTTATAATACCCATTATTATTATTATTATTATTATTGCATGTACCTAGATTAACACCTGGTCAAGAGTATAACTATCAGTTTGGTGATGATCCTGAGTGGAGTCAAGTGTTCTCATTTCGTATGCCTCCTGCCCCTTCACCTAATGCTAGCATCTCCTTCATTGCTTTTGGAGGTAAGTCCAAGGGTCAAATATCCTGTACAGAAACTTTGACAAAATTTCATCAAAAATTTCAAAGAAAATTTTTTTCTTTTATTATTATTATTATTCTATTTTTAGATATGGGTCAAGCTCAGGTGGATGATACACTTCGACCACTTTACGTGCATGCACAGCCTCCAGCTGTCAACAACACTAACCTCATGGCAAAGGAAGTGAATGAGAGAGACCTGGTACTTCACATTGGAGACATTAGCTATGCAATTGGATATGCTGGAGTGGTAATTAAGATTATCGTATTTTTATTTTATTTTTATTTCTCTTTTGCTCTTTTCTGTCCTTTCATGCTCTCTTTTTTGCTTCCTCTTTGCCTTGATCTTTTCCTCTCTCTCTCTCTCTCTCTGTTATTCTAGTGGGATGAGTTCTTTGATCTCATTCAGCCAATATCATCTCGAGTCCCTTACATGGTGTGTGGTGGTAATCACGAAAGAGACTACCCACACTCTGGGTAATTAAATGTAACTAATTTGTAACTTTAATTTTTTATTTTTCTAGTTCTTATTACGAAGGTACTGATTCTGGTGGAGAGTGTGGAGTACCTTATGAGATGAGGTTTCAAATGCCACGCCCAGACCCCAAACAACACTGGTACAGTTTTTATTCTAAATATTATAATTACTGCCCCATCTTTATTATTTCTACTATTATATAGGTATGATTTTTCACTTGGTAGTGTCCATTTTGTGTTGATGAGCACTGAGATTGATTTCACTGTCAATTCAGTTCAGTACAATTGGCTAAAGGATCACTTGTCTTCTGTCGATAGATCTGTCACACCATGGCTCATATTTGCTGGCCACAGGTAACACTTTATAATAACCACTAGGTGAATGTAAAAATTGAAGGGGTGGGCATGAGCCATCAATTGACATTTTTTGACTAACATTACATCAATCCAGCTCTTAGTTTATTTTAATTTTATTTATTTTATTTTATTAATTTGATTTTTTTTTAATTTTCAAATTTTTATTTTTTTCATTTTATAATTTTAAAATTATTTTTATTCTTTTATTATATTAAAAAATTTTTTTTAAATTTATTATTATTTTTTAAAATTATTATTTTGTTGATTTTAATTTTTTGATTTTTTAATCCTTAATTTTTTTTCTATTTTTGTTTTATTATTTATTATGTCTTTATTTTTTAAATAACAATAATGATAATAATTTTAATTTTTAAATTTCATTCTTATTTTTTAATTTATTTAATTTATTATATGATCGTTCTTTTTATTTTTATTTTTTTAATTAAAAAATTATTTACATATGTTTTTTAAATTTATTTTTACTTTAATAAATAAATAACAATTATTTTTATTAATTTTTAGTTTATCTACTTATTATTAATTTTAATTTTTAATTTTTTTATTAATTAATTTACTTAATTTTTTATTTTTTATTATTTTTAAAATTATTTTAATCATTATTTTTTTAAATCCTATTTTTAATTTATTTTTTATTTTATTATTTATTAATTTTTTTATTTATTTAGTTATATTTTTTCATTTTTTTATTTTGTTATATTTTTTTAATTATTAAAAAATTTTTAAATTTATTATTTTTTTCAATTTATTTATTTATTTATTAGTATTTTTAATTTTTGATTTTCATTTTTTTAACTTAAAAATTTTTTTTAATTTTAATTTTTTGTTTCTTTTGTTTTATTATTTTTTTATTTCTGCTATTTTTTAAATTTTTTAGTTTGGACCCTGACCAAGAGGGCAGGGTCTGAATATGCACAGGTAATGATCTCAGAAACAAAGAGAGAACAATGTTCTTTTCTTTCTCATTTGATTATGAGCTAGATTTTATTATATTTTTATTTCATCCTCGAAATTGCAATGAAGCCAATCAATAGCTCATGCTCGCCCCCACAATGTTTACATTCACCTAATTAACTTTAATAATAGTTAGACAACCCTATCATTCCCGTACAGACAGACAAACACTTTCTTGTTTTAGTGGGGCTCGCTGAGGCTCACTTCAATAATAATTGAACATGAAAAACAATGATAAAAATGACTTTTTAAAATCACTTTTATAATGGATAAACACCTCCTATGAGGTGTTTATGGAATTTGGAAACCGAGAGCGAAGCCCGAGGTTTACAAATTCCATAAATGCCTCATAGGAGGTGTTTATCTGTTTTAAACATATTCATGGGACATAGTTATTACAAGTGGTTAATTAGGCTCAAGCAAATGTACACTTGTTGTGGTATTCTGTTGAATGGCTTCCATGTAGCGGTCTCCATAGCATTTGGACACCTCATTCATATCATTAACATCAAACAGAATTATTCATGAATGGTTTAAAATGTTATTTTGTTTGTATTAGGCCCATGTACATCGATAGTGATTATGGGCTTCTGCCATCCAGTGATTTGGTAGTTTCTAAAGAACTACAGGACAACATTGAGCCACTACTCCTGGTTAGTAATTATGAATTCTTACTCAATTAGCTTTTGTTATGTCTTTCCCTCCTTCCTTCCTTCCTCTTTCTCAGGAATACAAAGTTGATCTAGCATTTTGGGGTCACCACCACTCCTACCAGAGGACATGTCCTGTTGCTAAGAAAGTCTGTCAGGATGATGGAACTGCTCCAGTTCACGTCGTCATTGGAATGGCTGGACATTCACTCTCTACAAATATACAGTAAACAATGAGTGACCAATAAAGGCATCATTTGTACAGTTTGTGTGTACACATTATGTATATACTATGCATACTCTACACATACACAGCATATTAAACTATTAAATTCTATTTTTCTAAAATTATTCTAGAAATAAGCAACCAGATTGGATACGGTTTGTTGATGTTGATGTAAGTTGGATAATTTTTATCACTCTCACACACTCCTTTATACAATTCTTGTCTTCTCTCTCTTTTCTTCTCCCTCTCTCTCTTCTCTCAGGATTATGGTTATACCAGGATAAGTGTTAGTCCACTCTCCCTCACATTGGAGTACATAAAATCTGATGGTACAACCAAAGACACATTCACACTCAAACACACCAAGTGAATAATCCAGTGTGCCACTGTGCTATAACTTCCTTTGATTGTGATTGACTTTTACAAAAATTGCTGTATTTTTTTATTGCCTATATCCAGCTAATACCTTTTATGTAATGAATTAATGTGTGTATTAATTGCTGTACAAAGCTGTGTATTAATTGCTGAACAAAGCTGTGCACAATAAATATAACCCTGATAATAATAATAATAAGAGGACAGTAATAATAATTGCAAGACAATAATTTGGACATAACACAACATATATAGCACAGAAAAATGAGAGAGAGACAGAGACAGAGACAGACAGACAGACAGAGACAGAGACAGAGAGAGAGGGAGAGACAGACAGAGACAGAGTGAGAGTCTAAGAAAACATGTCATCATATCCAGGAGGAGGTAAATGGTCAGGATCAGGACTGAGAAAGGAGAGAGAGAGAAGATAAATGGCATACTATTAATGTCAAACTAACATCTAGCATTATATTAAACTCACCCGTGCCCATACTGACTATGGTCTAAACCCAGACCAAGACCACCACCTCCCCTAGGGCCACGACCAGGATGAAACCTTGGTGGTCCAAAAGGCGAGACTGGATCATACCTAGCACCTGGCGGATGGAACCTGCTTCTACTAATAACAACAATGATCATTATGGTATGATTACCTAGGAGGGGGGAAGCCAGCCATGGGTGGGCCAAAGGCTCCGCCACTTCCTCTAAAAGGATCCATTATCATTCCACCACCTGGACCACTAAAATATTTAAAAATTAAAAAATGTATATTAATATATTATTTGTTCGTGTACATGTACATGTATAGCTTACCCAAATGGTGAGAGATCTCCCCTTCCTATTTCGAATGGATGTCTACCACTTCCCATCAAATCTCTAGAGAAACAATATTATATTACGATTAATTTTAAAAAAATTGAGTCAAGTTTTATTTCATTATTATAGCTACATTCTTTCTCTCTCATCTCCATAGCTCTTACGGTCTAAAGCCCGGTATCCCTTGTCTCCTGTCATCTTCAAGACTATAAAACAATTTAAAAAAAATATTATAATAATTTGTGGTGACTAAGAGTGACTAACAGTGAAGGATTTCTAATGTCTTCTCTTTTTGGATTAGTTTGTTTATCATCTTTAGCTTCTTTGGATTCTTTCCTATAATAATAATATATCATATATTTTCATAATAAATCCTCATTTATCCTTTCTCCTCACTTTTTCAATTTCTCAATGACCTCCTTGTGTAGCACGGAAAACAACCGAATGATATTCTTTAAACTGGTTATCGAAACAGGCTCATCGGGTTTCTCTTTTATGTAACCAGACGTGGGAAGAGTGATAGTGTGGACATCATCAGTCTTATCAGAAGACTAACAATAATGAAGAGAAAGAATGAAATTAACTACCATTATAGTGGGAAATTTTGGAGGGAGTTAAATTTGGCAAATTTGCAATTTTTGATAGCCATTTGCTGAAATAAAATCCACCACTTTAAGCCATTATGCGTGGCCACAAATTTGCCAAATTAAAATTCGCCAATCACTAAAATTTAGCAATTCGCCAAATTTAGGTCCCTCCAAAATTTCCCGCTATAATGGTAATTAATACTCACTATTGTATTAATCAGTAGTTGATCCCCCAAAGGCAATATCTTAATCAGACTCTTGACATTAGTCTTATCATCTTTATACTGCAACACATAAGCATCACTGGATTCATTCCATCCATCAGGTAGTGATGGGTTCGTGGGAGTAGCTATAGGCTCACTTCGGACATCACCAGATTGAAAACCCTAACAGCAACAGACAACAGTAATGAAAACATACTGTAGATCAAAGACTATGGATTGGGCATCAGTAAATTTACTGAGTTCAAAAAATCCCCAATTTCTATTGTATACTAAATGAATTTAATTAATTTGGTATACAATAGGAATTGGGAATTTTTTGGAGCTAAAGGCCACTATACACCAGGCAATTCTATTGCTTGCAATCTGTGGTTACTTTGATGTTGTAAGCAATGTGTTGCCTAGAATAGAACAGGTTTCTATTCTAGGCAACAGTGTTGCCTGAAGATCAAAGTAACCACAGATTGCCTGGTGTATAGTGGCCTTAATGTTTATAAGTTACTGTTACTCAATGGAAAGACCGTTGGAAATTGGCAAATTTTGTTACCATACAAGATAATTTATTGGCGAGGAATTAATTTTGGCAGATTGGCATTCTGCGAAGAAGCACCAATAAATATAAACCAAAAAATAATATTATTACTTCGTCACCCAAAAATTTGCAATCAAAATCAGTTCAAACTTACACAGAGCATAACTATGCATCAGAATAATTATGCATATATGCAGTAAAATACACTTTGAGGTATGTTTAATATTACTATCTTTGGATAATTCATAATTTACATGTTCACTTGCTGACAGACAACTAAATCCCTCAGAAAGAAGACTAGCGTGTAGAGCAAGTACAATGAGATCATTGACCCTCTTCACATTCGATCCAGCCACCCCCTTCTCAAATATAGAGTCGATTGTCACCTCCTCTGTACTGGCGGCCATTTTCCAATTACTAGCAATTAGGCTCGCAGCCTCAACTCAAGCACGTGCACCCGGATGAAAGGTCGCGTGGGCGTGGTCTTTTTACCCGACGCCTTGCTGTGGTAACACTCACTCTCCTTCTGGGGAAACTTTTTTGAAAAGTCTTCCATCTTGTCTCTTCTCTATTGGACGCGCGACTAACTCTTTGAGGGGGAGGTTCTGACGCTGATGAGCAGAAATACTGGAGTGAGTGACCCGGGAGAGAGGAGAAAGAGAGATCGAGAGGAGAGAGGTGGGAATTTTGGAGGGGGGGGGGAGGAAGGTATGGTATCGTGGTGTAAACTGGAAGAGGAGTTATATCAATAGTATATTTAATTGATAATGTATCTTTGTGACTTATGTCCAGATTATGTCAAGATTATATGCATCCAAGTTCTTATGTTTTTGACATACGATTTCCAGAAAATACATGTACATGTACTATTACCCGTACATGTACATGTACATGCATGCCCTTAATTTTGCCGAGACTAAGTTTGACGGTACACATCTCAACAGTTATTGTTTGTTGCTGGTCCTCGCATGTTTCTCTCCGTCGGGCTGTATTGTAAATAATAATGTTGTCATTATTATTATCGTCCAATGTTTTGTGTTTATTTTCATCGTCAAAACATAATGCGTACTGCTTTAGCCATCAGGTCCATGTGTGTACACGTACGTGTCTCTCTGTCCTGGTGGTGTTGTACATGTAATAAAGAGAGAGGGAAGAGCTAATTAGGGGACAGTATGTACATGCATACTTGTAATGTAATACTTTCAATTTTGTGGTTTAGGGAGAGAGGGAGAGACTAAAGGTATGTTCATAGCTCATACATGTACTGTAGATGCGAGTGTTTTACAATGTAGTTTTGTGGTTTTGTTGTATCATATTTGATGCATAATGTATTAGTGTTTACACATTATGTGGCTCATATTTACATTTTCTTGAATATGATACTGATATCATGTATCCTAGCTTGATGTATGGCATCTACTATTTCAGTAATCTTTCATCTCAATACGCTTTAAACGTGTCATCTAAGCTTTAAATGTGTCCTTGTTATTCTTAATAAGATACATACCCTGTACATGTCTAACTGTCTATTGACTATGGGCAATGTCTTAGCAGTGTCTTGGTGCCAATTATATCAATGCTATTTTATGATATGGGCTACATGCCACTCCAATATACACACATAGTTATGTTCACACATTTCCTCAAGAGTTATGTCTATGTGTCTCATTTATTAATCATTTATTGTAACAACTAATTATTGCCTGCCTTTGCTGCCGATGAGAATAATTATTTTTATGGCTAGTGTGTCTCTTTGTCATTAACTGATGACTATCATGTACCTGTTTATTTAATAATGGAAGCAGTATTGTAGGTATGGTTGCTATTATCATTCATCCTTATAAGGCTGGACTCCCCCTTTCCCTCCTCCAGTTACATTATGGATTATGTGTTACATGTACGTTTAATGTGTGTATGTTAGTCGTGAGCCAAAGTAGACATCCTGCCTGCCCTGGGCAGTGTTATTATCTCATTGTCTCTCTATTTCTCTTTCTATTGTAACATTTATGTACTATTTCCTTTCTTGACTATAACCTCATCCTCTTTCTTTATGGTTTTCACTCACGCTACGTGAACTCTCTCTCTCTCTCTCTCTCTCTCTCTCTCTCTCTTTCCCTCTCCCTCTCTCTCCCTTAGTTTTTAAGCTACAGTAAATACATGTTATTCCATACATGTACATGTAGCACGCTTAGTTTAACTTGCAGATTATGATTGTAATCCTCTCTATTTCCTCTTTCTCTCTCTCTCTCAGACTTACTGCAGATTTGGTCAAACGTTTATGGAGTTTGTGAAGGCTAGCTGTGGAGACTGGTGCAGAGCTCAGCACGTTTACTAAACCTACCGGAACACAGCCGCTAACCGTTGTCCTGTTACCAAAGTGAAGAGTACGTACATACGCATTCCCTCCTCTGCATCTCTCCTGTTTCTCTCTCTCTCGCTGGTCTAATTTTGGCCACGCCCCCTCGTAGCCATCACCATAGCGATCGATTGCCATAGCGACCGATTGCTTTAATATTTCTTTTGAGTCACTTATTATTATTATTATTCATTAGAAGTCAATTAAGTCTTCGAGGTAATTAATTATTATTATTATTTTGTTGATCCTGTTATGGGAATTTAGTTTTATTATTTGTCATCATTATTTATTTATTGCCTATTATCTCGTCGACTTCACGAATTTAGTGTCAATTTTATGTTCTTTTTTTGTTAATTTTGTCAACGAAAAGGAACAAATACTTGCTAATAATATTAATCAGCTTCTTCTTCTGCACGAATTCGCTCCTCCTCCCCCCCTCTCTCTCTCTCGTTTCTTTTTTCAACCAGATTTTCAAATCACCATTAATAATTATTATCGATATTATTATTATTATTAATTATTATTATTGTTGTTAAATTTTTAATTTTAGCAAAGACCCCCCTCTTTAACTCCTTTTCTCTTTTACGTTTATACTTTCCGTTGCTTCTTCTTTTTTTTCTTTATTATTTTTGTCATTATTTTTGTAAAATGGCTGCCAGTAATCACGTCAGCGGAAAGCCCCACCGTAGCTTCACAGCCGGTAAGTGATTGGTTATGTGCTTGTTCTGTTACATTAGCTCCGCCCTCTTTTATATTTTAGGTGCTCCGTCTTTGATCGAGTACAAACAGCAAAAGTTTCTGATTATAAATAATCCGACTTCAGCCACCTTGCCAAACTTTATAAATGTAAGTATATATACATTAGGTATTAGGACTACAATTGTACATGTAGATGTAGATGTAGATGTAATATTGGTTTGTAACTGTTAATATTAGTGAGTTGCAAATTAGAATTAATATCAAATGACTAGCTAAAATCCCGCAATTGATATGCTTAAATGTACACTGTACATGTAATGTATATGCATGTTTCCTGTATTAATTTACACATGTACATGTATATGTATGATTATTTATGTAGTATTTTTTTCCTGTGTAATGTTATTATTATTGGTATTGTACACAAAACTCGACTAAAATTAATGGGATGGGGATGCTAAATAAACAAGCCTATTATTATTATTATTATTATCATTATTATTATTATTATTATTATTATTATTATTATTATTGTATTATCAATTGTAGGAATTGGAGAAGAACCAGGCAAAGATTGTTGTGAGATGCTGTGAACCATCTTATAGCAGCGAACCACTGAAGGCAAAGGGAATTGATGTCATTGTAAGTATACATGTACATGTATTTATGTGGATTCTTTTGAGCTCAAGTTCTGATGTTATGAGCACTTTTTAAAAACTAGCAAAATCTTGAAAAAAAAAGCATGGACTATAGCCCATGGTTTTTTCTGAAAAATGGCTCAGAAATCACCCCAAATTTTTATTACATTTTCTGATACATATTGATGTACTTATGCTGTGTAGAAAGTTTGAGCTGATTCTGAGCTCAAATTTTGAAGTTATGAACACTTTAAAAACTAGCAAAATCTTGAAAAAAGCACAAACTACATGTATATACATGTACATGTATAGCCCATTGTTTTTTCCAAAAAGTGGCTGTGAAATTACCCCACATACAACATTGTACATGCACATGTAATCTAGTTGCTGCAAGTGTGTAGATTATTGTGAATTCTCTCTCTCTCTCTCTCTCTCTCCCCCCTCTCCCCCTCTCCCCCTCTCCCCCCCCCTCTCTCTCTCTCCCTCTCTCTCTCTCAGGATCTCCAGTTTGATGATGGTGGTTCTCCTCCGGAAGACATCATAAGGCAGTGGCTAGTAATAGTAAAAGACACTTTTGAGAAGTCACCAAACTGCTCACTAGCTGTTCACTGTGTAGCTGGACTGGGAAGGTAACAAGATTGTAATAAAACGTACCATTTAAATAATTACTATTCTGTCTATAGAGCTCCAGTTTTAGTAGCCATTGCTCTCATTGAGAAAGGAATGAAGTATCACGAAGCAGTGGATTTCATTAGAAAGTAAGTTTCTCAATACTTTATAATGCTTTTAAAATGCGATATGTATATTACCAAGCATGTGTTAATAATCAATTATTTTTATTGGAAAGTATTCAAATGCTACGTGGCATTCCATTTAAATTATTTTTTAACTTACATGTATAGATTCTGTATAATGCTGTACCTTTTTCACTTCTTTCCTCTTTTTCTTTCTTAGCAAAAGAAGGGGAGCAATAAATAAGAGGCAACTTGACTTTCTTGAGAACTACAAGTCGAAGGACGGAAAGTGTCGCATCATGTGACCTCTCCTGTTAGTCATGTGATCTCTCCTGTTAGTCATGTGCCTCATCGTGATCTATTCTGAGATCACTGCTCTCATTACCAATGGAAATGCATTATTATTATTATTATTATTATTATTATTATTATTATATCAAGAGTACTGTCAATGTATTCTTATTATTATTATTATTAATTATTATTTATTTATTGCTAACAGAGAAATGTCTTAATATTTTGTGTAGCTGTCATAAAACAACATCAATGATACTATTATATTATCATTAATTATTATTTAATAGTGTAATAATAATAATTGTTATTTATTCATTATAATAAAATGTTATAGAGACAGCTATAGTCCAATGCAGCTTCGAAGCCTAATAAGCAGCATTAAAATGTCAATTCAACTACCTTAAGCCTACTATTATTTGCGTCTAATAATTTTAGCGAAATCAGCAAAAGTCATGTTTAGCGTTACTAATTTTAGCGTTTTTAACCAAATTAACTATAAATAATAACCATTGTAATGAATAATAATTATTTTGGCGTCTATTTAATTTAGCGGTTTAAAGCTCTCGCTAATATAGCTAAATTTAGTAGACGCTAAAAATAGTAGGCTTAAGGTATACAATTTTGGCTTTTAGGAATGTTGACTGAAAACCAGCCATCTACTCTGAAAATATTCGGCTAAGCCTTTAGCATTGTGTTTGTAGCTTTGTAAATGCACCTTGACTTGCCATGGCTGAAAAAGAATAAAATTTTTAAAGATTAAAATTTTATTGTACTTGATCTTAAAAATTTGTAGCTAGCAAAATTTTGGCAACACTAGAGTACATGATTTAATACCCAAACTGGATTTTTATAAGTTTAAAACAGAAGATAATATGTAAAGCAATAATAATGATAATGACAAAAAGTTTAAGTTCCATTTCATTATTCGTATTTCACACAAATGGTGGTAGTGTCAGTGTAGAGGTCCATAGACTCCTTCACTCCCTCTCTCCCTACGCCAGAGAACTTGCAGCCTCCAAACGGAAGACACAAGTGACGAACCATCCAACAATTAACCCACACTGTACCAACCTATGGAGCAGAGTCAATAAGACATATCAATCAATGGATGTACAGTGGAACTTCTGAATAAAGAAACTTTTTTGAGACGGCAATTTTTTCTCATTACATGGAAGTTTTTATTAAAGAGAAGTTTTATTTTAATTGTTAGGGAATGAAGTTGGTGCATTAAATATATTTCAATGAATAGAGGTTTTTGTTTAAAAAAGTTTCATTATTAAGAGGTTCCATTGTATGTGTCATTTATTTTAAAGTGAATATACTTGTAGTTGTGGAGCAACACGATGTGTCGTACGAACGTTTTCAGTCCAAATTGAAGCACAGAGCCCGTAATCTACAGAATTGGCTCTCTCTATTACCTGGCGGTGACAATTGGGCATTAATTGGAAGTGCTATATATGTGCGTATAATAATGTAATCACCTCTTCTTCAGTTTTGAAAGGGACAATGCAAACGACTGGACCAAATATCTCTTCAGTCATGAGTCTGCTCGTATCAGGGACGTTGGTGATGACAGTGGGACGTAAGAAGTAGCCCTGTACGTGTGAAGGAATATGCATAGGAAAATGGTTCACAACTACTCGTTACATTTTTGTTCTTTTCTGGTAGGTCTAGTGGCTCCAGTCCAGTGTTAATAGTACATCCTTCAGCTTTAGCCAGATCAATGTAAGATTGTACCTGTAACATATACCCTACTATAATAATTATGAACTCTTGCATGTACATGTACATAAATGCATACATGATACATAACAATTGCATTAATTCAAATTCCAATATTGTACAGTGTACATTACAAGTCCCAGTGTTTGGGTACATTAGTTTCATATTTTACTTTTGCTAAATGTTCTTTGCTTATTAGCGCCCCCAACATGTTATTAGAATCTGTAGGATCGCCAACTTTAATGCTCCTAAAAAAGAAATAAGAATAATCATTATTCCTCTTTTTCTCCTCACTTTGCTTTCTCGACGAATCTCTTCACAAACTCATCAAATATTGGTTCTTGTACAAATATGCGCGAAGTGGTCAGACAGACTTCTCCTTGGTTGATGAAACTCGAGCGCATCATCACAGGAAGACACTTCTCAAGGTCAACGTCAGCAAAAACAATACCAGCATTCTTACCACCCAGCTATAAGGAGGGAGACAAATACATGGTAATAATAGAGCATACTGTAGAAGTGGAATATTTTACTGCCTTTATTATTTAATTTTTAAATTTTACATGTTTTTAGTTTTACGGTTTACACGTGAGCTAGCTACTATAAATTAATACGACTAACAAAAATTTACTGGTTTTTAATGTTACTTTTTTCTGTTATTGTAAAATTAAAGTCACCTTAAAATATCCCACTTTTATGGTATTTTGTAAAGCACAAATTATTAAGCTTGCTTATTTATTATAAGGATTATAATATTTACTTCAAGAGAGAGTTTCTTGACGTAAGGTGCAGTGAGTGCTTGTATCCTCTTCCCCACTGCAGTGCTACCAGTAAATGAAATGACAGGAACATTAGGATTAGTGACAATAGCTTCACCAGCTTTAGGCCCAGTACCAAATACAATATTACAGACACCAGCTGGGAGGCCTGAGGAGATAATAAAGTTAAGATAAAAAAGACACGCATTTAAATAAACACTTTAAAGTGCAAATGAACTTTTGAAAACAAACTTAATAGAAAGAAAGGAGAGAGAGAGAGAGAGAGAGAGAGAGAGAGGGGGGGGGAATTTCCCAGTATTATATAATACACACCAACTTCATTCATGACTTTAGCAAGCATATAAGCAGTCATAGACGTCATTTCGCTTGGTTTGCATACAACAGTACAGCCGGCTGCCAGTGCTGGAGCTAGCTTAAACGTCAATAAATAAAGAGGGAGATTCCAAGGTGATATTAACCCTGCCACACCCACAGGCCGCTGACAAGTGTAATTAGTACAATCAACCTCAGGCATAGCTAGTGAACTATAATTGTAATAATTAGTAATTGCAATTATAAATATTATAACTTACATTCCAGTTTGATGCATGATTCCGCTTGCAAATGCTCTCATATTGTAACATACACGTGGTATGTCGACTGCTTTGGCGAGCCAGACTGGCTTTCCTTGGTCTCTTGACTCTGCTTCTGCGAATTCATCCAATCTTGATTCAACAACATCAGCTATTGCATTCATCAAGCGAGCTCTTTCTTTACCAGGAGTCTTTGACCAGCTGAAATTAAATATCTCTAACTTTAACTCTAGAGCTATGAATTTTCATGGCCGAGAGTTTATTGCTAATTTTGAGAAAATTCATCCCTTTTGCTGGTCGATCAAGTCATGATGAGCATTTGCAGAAATAAAACCCACAAAAAGACTTTTTCTGGCTATTTGGGAAAACTTTTCGACCATGGAAACTTCTAGTTACATACATAAGGCAGAATTATCAAAATACTATTGCAAAATCTAAGCCTAATAAGGCTAATCATACTTAGAGGCTTTTATCACTTCATAATAATAATTGTGCAGATACAAATAACTTAACAACAATGTACAAAGCATGAAATATCACATAAATCTAGTTCTAATACTATTAAATTATTATTATTATCAAGAGAGAGTGTCTATTCTTGCTACTATGCTACCTAAAGAGTGCTTTCACAGTCCTGATTAGTACTTCAATTATTACAATTAACACTTTACAAGCTACTCGAAATCATAAATGCACTATTGTTCTTACGTTATGAAAGCTTTCCTTGCTGCTTCTACAGCTTTCTGTACCTCCTCGGCTCCGCTGTCTGGTATATTAAGATAATGTTCTCCAGTGGACGGGTCATAGCTCTTTATGTAGCTGCCTGTAGCTAGAAACTGACCATCTATGAAGTTCTCCAGCTTTGGAAGACCAGCCATATTGCCGTTTATGAGTTGGGCGGGGCTACTTATGCGAAGTTATTAATGATTGCGTCATATGACGTTGCTAGCTTACCGGGCTTTGGCGGTCTTTGTAGTACTTGTTGACTCAATCACTTAAAATCAGAAATTACACAACAATAAAATATTAGTAAAAAAATCAATTTAAAAACAATAATTAATAAAATTATGATCTATCAATCAACAAATTAATTATCTCTCTCTGTACCAATGCTATCCACGAGCTGGATCTTTAAAACACAACCTTCAGGCAAAAAATGATATTGGGTGTCTAGGGTCTCCATTTTCATAATTAATTTTTGATTTTGAAATTGAAAATGAAATCAGAAACGGAGCATCTGCGCATGCGCAGTACAAATGGCTGGATTTAAAAAAAATTTGGAGCGCCCCCGGAGATAATAATATTCATATCATTACTTGATTAGTGGGTGTGGTTTTACACTTGGACACCAATTGGATTGTAAACTTTTTTGGACTTTTACAAGAAGTCAAGGAAAAATTCAGTCGAAAAAGGAGCTAGTAATGGCTAAAAAGAAACAAGAAATTTTAGATTTATCTAGTAAGATATTAAAAATGGCCTCCTGCATGTATTTTTAAAATAATCAATATTTCTTCAGACAAGGGTCTTAAGTCTATTTCACGTTATACAAGTGGAAACCAGAAAAGGGACCACGTACTTAAACTGATACTAGATGATAATCAATTGTCGTCCCTTGAGGGAGTCGAATCGTTTGATAAACTGATTCAGGTGACAATAAAAATTAATTGAAAAAATTATTAATAATGATAATTATTATTATCATTACTAAAATTACTATCATTATTTTTGTCATTATTTTTGTTATTAACTGATTAATAATTTTATTGCCCATGTGCGCATTTTTTAAGATTGGTGTAGCCATATTTTTAAAAAGCTTGGGGGGTATTAGATTAAGATTTTAGCATGGGGTCTAATATTGCTAGAAATTTCCTCCTGGGGGCGACAAAAATCAATTCATTATTTTGCTGTAATTTCCTTGCTTCTTGTAGCTATTGTGTAGGCGGAATAGACTCTTTGATGTCAGTGGAGTCCCTCGTAAAATAGTAATGATCAATTTTCAGAATAATAGCATTGTCAATTTGCATGGTGAGTTAGTCATGATTTAATATATTTCCTTAAAAGGTTTTAATTTGTTATTGATTTTTGATTGAGTTATGCACGGTATTTAATTTAGAAAAAAAAGATATTTTTTATTGCAAATACTAGCTGTGCAGAAAGTTTGAGCCAATACAAGGATTGAGCATTAAAAACTTGCAAATTTTGAGCCAACATTTGAATGTGTGTCTTATTTTTTGTCTTATTTTTTACTAGTAACAGACTTTCATAATTATTATGTCTTTGTTCTTTAAAAATAAATTAAATAAAAAATTAAAATAAAATAATATATTATTAAAAACAATAAAATTAATCTTGTTTGTTTTAATAAACAATAATAATACTTTTTTTAGGTTTCCATGGTCTTGTATCGCTTCAGTGGCTTTGTTTAGCTGGAAACAGCATTAAGGTTCTCTTTCCCTCTCCCTCCCTCTCCCCTCCCCCTCCCCCCTTTCTCTTCATCTTTCTTTCATTTCACAGGATGCTAATGTCTTAAATTCCTGTACTTCTCTCACTCATATTGATCTTTCTGATAACTTGTACGTGTATCATTCATTACTCATGCAATAGCTATAAGTTATTTTATTTTTTTAGCATCAAAAAACTACCCGTGTTAACTAACCTTACCTCACTAAAGGTGAGTATCAATAGTTATTATTAATATCTATAAAGTATTATTATTATTTTATGTTAGACTTTGCTTCTCCATGGCAATGGGTTAAAATCACTTGCTAAGTGAGTTTATTGATGTTATTATTCCTATACTCTTTCAACAAGTACATGTACATGTATGCGTGTACCTATACCATACTACAGCTGGTAATTTTGGAGGGTGAAATCTGCTGTATCAACTGTCATTTACCATATCAAAACCAGGCATTTAAACATACAATGTAGATATTAGAGTAAAATATCTATGTTTTAAACCATTATGTGCATGCTCCAAAAACTGCAAAAATTTTACCCCTCTAAAATTACAAACACTCTTTTTATAGAACACGTGTATCTCTCCCTTCTTTGTCATTACACACATTGACACTGGCTGAGAATGGGATAGTTGATCTTAATGAAGTAAGTAATGTTCTTTATCCTCTGTCAGCTACCCCTCATATATACCACTTACCATGAAATTTATGTGACAAAAAAAATTTGCGAATTTTGTGATTTTTTTCTCCGGCCGCATAAATTAAAATCGTGGAATTTTGTAGCTCCATTGCCACGTGGTGCAGTTTTCGAGCTATTTGTAAAAATTTTATTTTGTGAAATTTTAGAAATGCAGGATTCTCGAAAATTTTTTGTCGCATAAATTTCATGGTATACGGTAGTGTCACTCATTGCTTATGCTGTTCTTATATACTCGGGTGTAGTTTGTTGCTCTTCAGTGTCTTAAGTCATTGGAGCAGTTGTCTGTGATGGGTAATGCATCAACTATTGATGCATCAGTTAAAAAGTGAGTTTTGTGTCAAACTGTGTCCATACACATGTACATGTACATCACATACACAGAATGTAGCAGAAATGGCCAGGAATGACATTTTCACTGCAACGTATCTCAGGGAGAGTTTGAATGGTTTTTTGAGCTCTCACTTTATTAAAAATGCTACTTCCTAGTTGTTTATCTTTATATGTGATCTCTCTCTCTCTCTCCTTTTCTAGTTTTGATTTTGCTTGTCGTTGTTTCATTCTCTACTGGTCTCCTCAACTGGATGTACTTGATGGATCTCCTATCACTGAGAAAGAAAGGTGTGGAGAATATGATGAGAGTATAAGTTGCAGGGTTTCCTCTGGCATAGTGCTCAGAATGTTGTCAGTATATAGATTTTTTATGGATTAAAGTAGCTCCAAATTTTGACAAAACGCCCTGTACTATAGTACAGGGTGTTTAGGGTATTTCGTCAAAAATTGCTATGAGAGAATTCTTCATTTTTATAATTTTTTTCTGATGCATGTACATGTTTTTATGTTGTGTAGAGAGTTTGAGCTGATTCCAATCAAATTCAGATTTTTTATGATTTTTTAAAGTTTCTAAAAATTAGGCCAATGACCCTGTATTATAGTACAGAGTTGTTGGTGAAATTTTGCCGCAAATGAAAATTAGAGAATTTTCCATTTTTATAATTTTTACTGATACATGTACATGTTCTTAAGTGTAAAAACTTTGAGCTGATTCTGATCAAAATTAGATTTTTTATGAATTTTTAAAGTTGCTCCAAAAGCTATCTACCATTGTAGTGCTTGTCATCTCATGAAGCATAGCTCACTTAGGAAAACCCTGACATGTTAAAACATACATTTAGACTATACATGTATATATAGCCCATAATTTCTTGTCTCTAATCATTAATCAATTGACATTCTTGTAGGTTTACATCGTGGACTTTGTTCTTAGACTACACTCACTATCCCTTTTCCACTGGCCAGCACAAAGAGCTCATGGAATATTTAGTGAGTCTTAGGTCTTTATAGTGTATTATTTTAATTCTATTTTTGTACTTGCTTAATCTTTCCCACCTCTATTTTTAATGCTTTCTCTCTCTCTCTCTCCCTTCCACCTCTCTCTCTTTCTCCGGCCCTTACAGTCTAACAAATGCAGCAAGTCTTTAAGCCCAGGCTTACCTCTACCCATCAATAATGAGAACCTTCCTCCTCCAAACCAAGAGTCCTTTCAAGACACTCCATTAAACCAGACCCCCATAGACTCTTTACTATCATCCGTTGGTAGCATGAATGTGGTGGATACCCTGAAAGCCTTGCAATATGTTCAAGACATGATCGATAGCGAAGAGAAGCTTCTAGAGAAATCCCAACCGGCTACTTTTCGTTCTCCTCTGAGTTCGAAATCTCCTCTTACTCTTTCACAGTCTCACTCTCTTCCTTCCCAGCCCTCCTCCGTTCAGTCATCACTCCAGTCATCTCTACCTTCCTCCCAATCCACACTTGTTCCCCCTCACTCTGTAATATCATATTCTCCTCCTCCTTCTGCTCTCTCTTCAATTTCTTCTTTTCATGTGCAGTCTTTGTTATCTTCTACTCAATCGTCAGTTCCAGTTACATCGGTTCATCAACCTTCATCACTTCCGCCCACATCCCTCCCTCCTTCCTCTCTTGTCGTATTATATGAGGGTCAGTTTATGCCCCCCATATATATGCATGTACAGTTAGTGTAAGACAAAGTGCATTATATACTCTAGCCCTGTGTGTTTGATTTTAGTTCAGCAAAATCCACAAGTCTGTGATTTTTGTGAACTCATTTTTTAAAGAAATCGACTCACAAAGACTTGCTAACTGTATTATTTGTGATTAACTGGTTAAAATATTTAAATTGTGATGTCTATTTCTGCTTTATATTGAGACACAGACTATAAGCTTGTTACATTTTTTGATGTAATTGAGACTTGATTTTCATTCCAAACGACCACAAGGTCAACTGCCTTACTATATATACTATACTGCAGTCCAAATCATGAAACTCTTAGACCATGAAATCCAATTTCCTGTAATACGGGATATTTTCCTCCTAATGCTGTCTAGTATGCAGACTCTTAATGAATGATCTATGGCTAATGACACAGATCTATAGTAGCTATATAATGTACTAGCTGTTACATCTTGTTTATGATGATGTATCATTCAGAGCATGTTGCAGGCATGCAGAGAGATCATGATACCATTTATTAACATACTACACTCCCCATTGTATACATAATGTCATAGTGTATTGTAAATATGTGAACCGTTTGAACTTTTAATCCTATTAGGACGTGTTACTTATGATGATGTAACATGTAGTAGGCAAGTGGTCTCTCT